TGCAATAATATGACTTGGTATTTCTTATTCATGTGAAGAATATAAAAAGATCAACATATTCACACAATTCGCAGTTTTAACATTTAAAGTTTGATTTTGCCCCTAAAAATCGTATAAGTGACTGCGGAAGTGCCCATATACACAATACGTTAAGTAATGAAGTTATATATTTTTGTGACATTAATGAATATAAAATATTTTCAGTTTTAATACATTTTCACGATTAGTAACGCCTTTCCAGATATTTTCTAATAAACATATACCAATTTAACAAATTGGTATATGATCTATATTAAAATAAAACATTGTGTTTTTAACCTAATCATCTACTCATATTATATTTAGGGAATGACAAATTTAACTTTTTCACTTCGCAAAAAATATTACGTCCGTTTGAATTTCTTTAATAAAATCGCTGTTTTTGACGTTAGATGTCTAAATTTTTGTGTGAACATGTATGGTCAGTTCCAGTACTTTTTTAATAGTAAATCTAGTAAAAGGGAAACATTTCAAAATCGCTCTCAGAGTACAACATAGTTTGAAAAGTTCGGGAAAGCAAATCTAGTAAAGATGCCAAAATTAATATACTTCAAAATCAACATAACAGCCAATCAGAAGTTGGCTGTTATGTTTACAATTTTTACTCATTCAAATTTCTCGAGTAAAAAGTTTACAAAGAGAATGCTATTTTGTTTTGTGTTCTCTTAAATTTGGTTCAACGTTTTACAATTTTTGTGGGTTGATATATTCTGTAGATACTGGGACAAGTGTAGGCTGTACTCAAGTAAGCGACATGTTACTGCTACACCTAATAAAAATCGAATTTTGTGATAAAAAATCACTGCATAAAAACAGATGTATAATTGCATATTTTAATATTAATGTTGAAAATTAATAGTACGTGTATTAGAAATAAAGAAATATTTGTACGCAATCATGTAGCCCAACCCATCGTGTTTCACAATATGAATGTAGTCGTCTGAATGATATATTTGATTTTAGAAATAATCTACATAAAGTAGAAGACCTTTTTGAAGATTTTCGAAGGAATGAGCAAATTTTAGACAATTTTAAGATTCGAAGCTGCATTTAAACATAACATTAAAATGTGAGAGGACAATGAATGTATCCTACAGAAGGGAATTTTGATGTAATAATGAATTATAATTGCCTGACATGTCAGACGCGCCGTCATATCCTTGACCTTAAGAAAAATGTACTACCAAGCACAACCTGATTATTGTGTTTGTTATGATGGTCTATGATTCTATCCCTGTTAATTCTTCTACTTCCACGTATCAAATGAGACATTCTTCGACTTTTTTAGTTACCTTGTCGAAAAGTCTAATACATATTGATAGCTGATCTCTTCTTTCAATATATCGGAAGCTTGTTTGACCATAATATGTTCCTCCTCATTAATTTGATAATTAGATGCAGACTTTACAAAAAAACACCCTTTGCTAAATCTGAATATGCGGCCATATAAACCTGATCCAACCATTTTATTTTTAATTTATTTTTTTTTTAAAAGCTGCCACATGAATGGGTCCACACATCGTAATATGTGTTTACACATATATGTGTTAGCTATTGGTTTTTGAAAGAGTTTTGATAGTTGGTAGTTTATAATTGCACACAATGCGTATTTTTAACCCCAACCCGAATTTATCGCTTGTCATTTCTATTTGGTTGTTTGTGACCGTATATTACAATTTTGTTATTAAAAATTTATTAAAATTACCTCCTAGCACTCAAGGACACTTAAATTTTGCGAAAAAATATAATCTATGATACCTATTCATTTTATCAATAAATTTTACAGCAAAATTTCTAGGAAAAGTTACAATTACAGTTTCTATTGAACCTAAAATTTCGAAAAAAAAAATACCAAGATGACTTATTTTTAATTTTAATTGAAGAGATTACTACATATTTCCACATTGTCAATTTCATTAATAACATGTTCAATATTACCATAATTGTTATTTTTATTTTATAATCATGAATTTATCGTTTTACATCGAAATATCAACACTTTGTACTGTCCAAGGTAGATTTATAAGGCACCCACATCGGTCCAGCTGTTGGTGCAAATAAATGTCAAAAATGTTGTTGTAATGTAGAATCAAAAAAATTAAAACACAAAGTTATAAATGAAAATCTCCGAATTTTGATGAGCTTGTTTGGCAATACTATTATTAACATTTTCTACAAGAATTTGTGTAAAAAATCTTATGGATCTGTTTGCTTTGTGCAAAATATTTTTGACATATAAAATTACACCAACTGATGTTTGGCAATACTATTATTAACAATTTCTACAATAATTTGTTTAAAAAATCTTATGGATCTGTTTGCTTTGGCAAAATATTTTTGACATATAAAATTACACCAACTGATGTTTGTTTTAGAAATTCGCTTATGCGGCTACCTTACTGAATATACCATGGTACTGCCGATCGTACAACATTTCACCTGAGAACAGTTCTGTGTAATAACGCCATCAAAAACAAAACAGTAATTTTTCGATCTTTAAATCCCTATTATTATTTTATTTACATTTTAATTCAAATCATGAGTTGAAGTAAGCATAATTGTCCTGATGGGAGAAGACTGGCATAAACAGGTAAAAAAGGTACTGAAACTAGCCAAACCAGCAAAGTGTAGTAAGTTTAAAAAAAAATTCATTGATATCGAACTACACAAAGAAATTTTGTACAAAGATATTTTGGATGGTACCATAAGAATCGTTAAAATACGCATCCCATATTTCAAGGTTTGTTTCCCGGACATTAAAATTAAAATGTTTGACTCCCCTACGCCGTAATTGAGCTGATATTCAATAGTAAATCTTTTTGGTCATATAGAACAGCGTAGTGGTACATAAATAAAGGTAAGTTTGAAAATTTATACACACAATATGTATTTAATTTTGAAAATTGTAGGAAACACCAAGAAGGACACAAAAGGTCATTCAAAATAAAGGTAGATGCAACGAATACTAATACTTGTAAAAATTGGCCAAAATATGGTAGCCATAGCATTTGATTAAGAACAGTCACTGTTGCCGCATTAATATCAGTAGACAAATTCGAGTCGATATGTGAACATTTGGCGCTAAGTCGGAGGATAAATGTCAGATGGTTGTTGTTGTTGTAGCAGCCCTATTGCTTTTACACAATGGGCTGAGGTGACATACGTTGGCCGAGTAAGACTCGGGTCGTTTCGGATCGTAGACCCCAGATGGTAACTGTGTTTGCTTGTTCTGGGCAATAAATTCGCCTACAAACTTCGCATTTTTCCTAAATCTTGTTCAAACATTCGCGATGTCGAGTTTCCTTCCAAAGCCGATGTCTTAGTTTTTTTTTTCCAGTTTTCACATTGTGTTTGAGTATTGCTTCTAATTGGGCCATAGACATCACAAGAATGTTGGGATTTTTTATATGCGAATGCGAGCACCGAATAAAGGAAATTTTAAAGGCAATAGTTTTAAAAGAAAATCTAGAAAAAAATGATAAATATTTTATACATCTGAAGAGGATATTCAAAATACCAATATATCCATAGTACTTTTAATTAATTTTCGAAAAATAAAATTAAAACAACGGGGTATTACCGCTTTATTATAAATATGTAAATATTTAATTATAAATATGTTTTTGACTAATCAAGTTTCGTTTACCCAAAAAAAAATTAATCGAATGGTGATATGTAGCAGTTATGAATGTTAAATAAAAACTCAATCGATATCGACTTCATAATTGGCCTTCAGTAGTAAAGATCGTATCGAAATTTATTGTCGAATAAGAACTCACTCTATATCGATTGTCATAATTTGCCCCCTGGGTTAATATAAGTTTATCAGAAGGTACATATATATTTTTTTAAACATATATTCTTTATTTAACTATTCCCTTAATGGTTATACGAACAATTAACTGACCAATTAATACATAAGTATGAATTAGTCTTTAATATACATCAGATGTGTCTTATGGAATGAAATGTTATATTAAAATCACCTCTATTAGTTTTATTGGAAAAACGAAATATTAATTTTTTAATAATGTAAATTAAATCATATAAGAACATAATGTTTCTCGCCTTCTTCCGTGTATACATAATCGATATTTTATAAAGAATATACAGAAGTGAAAAATAAATAAATACAATAGGTTGAGATGTACAGGTTAACAATATTAGTGCGTAACAAACTACTTATAACAAATTTTCTAATTAAATTCACATAAATGTAGATATTGTAAAGGTTTCACATTGTTTCTTCGGCTAAATATTTTCTAAAATGGTTACCATATTATCGTATTTGTGCCGAAGATTTGTATATTTCCCTCCGCCATGGAATGAATGAAGTCTGCAATTACATATCAAAATAAATAAGAGCGTTAACGTTGCACATAATCGTAATCCCCGAAACGCATATTTGGCTGAATTTCGTTTGTATGGCTTTCGGGACGTTGTGGTGTTAACTGGGATGAATTTTGAGAAGCAATAATGGCTCTCTGTGTTAGATAGGGGTTAAATTGCATATATAGTTGCCGAGGGTTTTGAAAGGCTGGCATTCTACTATTATTTGCAAATTTAGGTAAATTATTCGTGTAATTACGGCTGTTTGTAATACCGGTAGATTGCCAGTTATAAGAATTATAGTGTTGTTGCTGTTGTTGCCAAATATTTGAATATTCCACACCACTTGCCGCTGGTCTAGAATCGTCTTTGCCCACATTGTACGACATTTGATGTTGATGTGATTCTTTTCTCTTACTATTTTGTAATTGTTGATGCACAGTCGTGCTTTCGGAATTGAGGCATGCATTGTTTTGCGAATAATTTCTATTATCAAATCGGATATTATTGTACTTATTCGCATGATTATTGAGCATAGAGTCGCCCATGCCGCAGCCGCTGTTGTTATTAGTATGAGAATATTGTGTATTTGTGGCGTTGATAGAAACGCTATTTGTCTTCGAAATATTGCATTCAGTTTCGGATATATCGGGCTCTTTATTCAGAGCCCTTGAATGTCATTCCCCCGCTGCAGTTACGGTCGTCCATTGCCAAGGACTATTGTATGATACTGGTTTCGAATTGCTAAAAAAAATACAATTAGTAGGTGTACAATATTATTCGGCAGCCTTACCTTCCAAATAGAGGATGCCACAACGGTACATTGGTTTCATTAGATATGCTGGTCGATTCTCCACTTCTAGATCCATTATCTACAATAACCTGTTCTACAGTCTTACTTCTTTGTTTAATAGCTTCGTTCACAGATTCTTTATTTTTGGGATTCTCTTTTGACGGCTTCCTTATTGCTTTTGTAAGGGTATCTTCAATAACAGGTGGACATGTTACTCTTGGCCCACTATTTTCAGCGATTTTGTCTTCTAGGTCATTATTTATATGATGGTAATTAGTTTCAACGCTGAGAACACATGGGATAGTCAAATTTGAAGACGAATTCAATTTGGGTGGTTGTTTATGTTCGGGATCAATGAGATTGGATAACGATTTGCACGTAAGCCTAGGTTTAGTGTCTCCATTTGGTCTTTTGTAATTTGAAAACTGGTTGTAATCAGAAGAAAGACGTGAAGCAACCGAACTTCTTAAGTTATATGTTTTGGTTGTGTCTCCTGTGTGATTTATGTTGTTATCGAGGTCTTTGCCTTTTATTGGTTGAATTTCTGTAGGTTTTTTGTGAATCACTTCATCTTTTGACAAATTGTGCAGATCGCGTTCTGCACGAGAATTTTGTTCACTTGTAAAGGCATGGGTAGGAACAGTTGTTTTGCTTGAATTTACATCTGTAGATATTGCATTTTTTACCTGCGCCAAGTTTATTACATTCTGCATTTGTTGCTGAACAATCTTCTGGAATAAGTTCATCTCTTCCGTCTGGCCCTGTTTTAACATAGATGATAGTGCAGTATTTGCAAAAATCTCATTAAAGCACTGATTATCATGTGAAACTGCGTTTTTTGGTATTTGATTTCTATTGCTATGACAACGCGATTCCATATCGGAATTATTCAATTTTGGGGGTACTGAAGGGCCTGTTTGTGCAAAATGAGTTGGCACCTTAATGGATTTCAAAAACTCTTGTGAAATTTGGCCAAAATATGGTAGCCATAGCATTTGATTAAGAACAGCCATTGTTGCCGCATTAATATCAGTCGACAAACTCGAGTCGATATGTGAACATTTGGCGCTACCTTCATTGGTGGTATTCAGATCTTTTGAAGAGGATTTACCTGATGTTATTTCTTCATTACAATATAACGGAGGAAGAATGTCAGATGGCAATTGTGTTTGCTTCTTCTGAGCAATAAATTCGCCTACAAACTTCGATTTTTTTTCTAAATCTTGTGAAAACATTCGTGATGTCGATTTTCCTTCCAAATCTGTTGCCTTCGTTTTTTCTGTTTCCACATTGTTTTTGAGTATTGCCTCTAATTGGGCCATAGATATCACAAGAATGTTAGGATTTTGTATAATTTCAGGGTATGCGAACGCTTCCGGTAATCGCAGCTCAGGGCGAGTGGTAATCAACAGTGGAATTTCCCGGGCAGGTGAAGCAAGTACAGCACTTAAACGATCTTTTGGGACTAGAATTGGATCAGGAACTTTCCACTGGGAGTTTCGAATAAGTAATCGCAGCTGTGTCAACGGATCAGGATCCTTGTCAATCATCACCAATTTCGATGTGAGAAATTCATCATTAGCAACTTTTCCAATAGGATGTTTACTAGTACGCAAACGTTTTTTTATTGGCTCTTCGTCTTCATCAGCCTGGTTATCCTCGTTAGCACTGTCGCTGTCTTCAATAACGACAGTTTCAATTACATCCGCTGACACCTTTTCTTTGGAGTAAGATGAGCTTCGATGAGGAGAATCTAAGAGTTTTACAGAATCAACCGAATGTTTTTGATGCCCTGAAATAGTATTTATTTTCATAAATTGCTCCAAAATTATATTTTTTAGTGTTTCGGATGAAGACGCCAAACCAGAGGATTCATCGAGGTTTTGTGATTTAACAATATCAGAACTTGATGTTACAGCACATTGACTTCGAGATTCCGACTGAGGACAAACTTCCTCTCTTTTCTTGTAGCTAAGATCTTTGGGAGAATCTTCAATCATATGTACACCTCCATTGTCGCCTTGTATAATCTTATCATTATTAATTCCAGACATTGCTTCTCTAAGAGGGCTTTGTTGTATTGGTATAGCTTGCACTATTGTAACTGGTGAATCGTTATTGTTGGACAAACCAGTGTTAATTATGGTGTTTGATTGTTTTTCAACAAATGAATCAATGAACTCCTCGTTCGGATGGAATAGTTCACAATTTAAAGCTTCAATTTCGCCAGCTTCATTAAAAGAAAGGCATTTTGGAGGTTCATTCACTACCACCATGTTATTTCCCACTGCATTTATATTTTTGTTGTGCAAGCTATCAATCATTTCTTTTGAATTAGTTTCATTTCCTTGTATTAAATTGTTTTCGCAGCTTGATTTAACTAGCGTGTCGATTAGATCGGCATCGCAGTTAGCATTATCATCACAGTGTTGGAAAAGGTCAGCATCATCTAAAAGATCCTTAAGATTCCTTGTTTTAGCTTCTAAACTCTCAGTGTTATCATCTGCAGAATTTGGTTTTATGTCTAAGGCAATAAGTTTCCGTTCTAGCATATTTCCATTATTATTACTCTCCATAACCTCTATAATATCATCATCTTGGGGAATATTTCTCAAAAAGAGGCCCGTCTTTGGACACAGGTGTAAGGCGTAGTCGTCATCTGGTGAATTCTGATATGATATATGTTCTACGGTGCACGATTCTTCGACTGAAGACAAAGAAGACTTTTTCGCATTTTCACCAAAAGGTTCAGTTATTTTTGTTGCATCTAAACATACATCCTCTGGCATGTTGTTTAATAACGTTCCAACCGATTTTACCAAATCGTCATTTATTACTTTTCCTTCATTTTGGTTCTCAACTGGCTCGTTTCTATTATTCTCAGTAATGGAGCATATGCCCGATTTTGCCTCTTCGACGCTAGTAACATTAATTTTTATTTTTGTCTTTTTGCATGAAAAGGACCGTTTTCCCTTTTTAGTTTTCTTTTTCTTAGATTTCTTTGGTGGCAGCTTTGTTGGGCAATCTATTCCGTTGACCTGAATTCCGACGTCAATAGGGTCTTCAATAAAACTTTGCTTTACTAGTTCGGATTCGACGACAACTGGCTTACTGTCTTCACTAGCTGATTCAGTGATAACCGTACTTGCTTGCGATATGTTATTAATTTCTTGAATTTGATTTTCATGTTTAACTTTTAACAGTGGTGTGGTGTAAAGTTTAAGCACCTTCGACGATGATGGATCAGATCGAGGCATTGCTCGCCAACCGTTTGAAGTTTTTGTTATCCGTATCCTATTTCTTTTGTCATAATCTTCACATCGTACTTCGATAATACGTGTATTGTCCTGCTTCGCCCATAGAAATATTGGATTGACCTTCGCTACTTGAAAAACATCTTCTAATGGTTGTTTTGCTTCCTGGCATAATTTGGAATTTTCTATACTGTTTATACTTGAATATACAGAACAGTGTTTTTTACTCGAAGCTGATGACCAGATCTTTAATTGCGAATTAGCAACATTTACAATTTTCTTTCTTATACCCTCCTTTTCCTCTTGCTGATGAACAGTGTTGACAATATTGTCACCCAAGTAACACTTTGGCTCATTTTTGATGTCTCTCAGTAAGGTTTTCGGCTTAATAGGTTCATCAACTTTTAAGTGTCCAAACTTTGGTTTCGGTTGTTTCTTATTCGATCTTCTAGATCGCCGAGTACTAGGCTGTTCTTCAAAAACCAAAAATATATCTCGAGCTACCCTTCGCCGTTCGGACTTTCTACTTCCTCCCTGGTACACCGATTCTGCAATTGATTCTGTTGCTGACGGAGGTTCTTTTTTGACTGATGTTCTTTTTCTTGTCGAAGGAGTGTTTTCCTTCGGAGCCATATTAATTGGTGGTTTATGCTCAGCTTTTTGTATAGCATTAGAGTAGCTTTCCTTGACATTTTGTCTACTTTTGGCAGTACTTCTCGGCATATTTGCGAAAGCAATATATTGCTTATGCTTTTAATTCGATTGTCATGTTAGTGTGTGTATACACGTAATATATTCCAATAAGACAACTAGATATTAGGTTGTAATAAATCTATATTTTAATCATTTTTAAACAGTTGTGCGTGTATCGGTAACACTACATACGTATGCAAAAAACGTAAAGAAATTCCACTTGAAAGATTTATTGAAATATAAATTGACAAAATCGATTAATTCTGTATGTATCAAATATAGGCGTATAGGAATCTTTCTCTCCTTCATGCCAGAAAACATAGCCAACGCATTTTATATAGGTAACGGCGTTGTTAAAATAGTAACGAAACTCTGAAACCAAAAAAGTGGCAACGATCTTCTTGTAGATATAAACGAATGGCTGCATGTTCATTGTTGCAAGCATTTAAAATGTATTTTTTAAATTTGTTGGCTAATATCTTTAATGGAATTTTCATTCTGATGACAAAAATATTTAACAAACAAATCATTCAATTGTCATAGATTTACTTACGCCGTGAAAGATTGAGCATTTGAACTCCATTTCTGGTTTCAAGAAGACTTTCGGCTTAACGCAAAAGGACTTACAATGGGAAATCCTAATCTACATACAAATGGTCATTCTGAGTAAAAAGGCAGGATGGCATTGACCAGCAATTGCTAAACCTTTTGTGGTAAGTTACATTTTTCAAGGTATGCCTATACCCGTGGTACAATCATATGAAGTAGCAAGGTGTATTTAATAAGGTGTATGCATCAGATACAACAACAAATATTTTACAAAAAACAACATTGTTGTTATAGAAATTAAATTGTCATGCTGACAATAAGTTTTTGACAAAAATAAACAAAAACAATTATTAATTTATTTTTGCCAAGAACTATTCTTTGAGGAATAATTAATGAATTTGTGTATTCTTGGGTTATTGGCGGTTTTAGGTCAGTGAAAAATAAAGTTTACGACCTGGTCGTGATTAATTTTAAGTTGCCCACATGCAGCCTTCTTAAAGAAAATTAAAGGGACATAAATCCCCGATCAAAGACTAAATCATGGAAATTGTGTTGACCGTATAAAATCTTTCCATAGTCGTATTTAACCTCTGCCGAGGATTGTGACAAGCACTAAGGGGCCGATTCCAATATAGGCTAACATAATCTTCTCGATTTTATGAATTGACAGATTTCCATACATAATAAATATGTGGACTAATCGGTGAACGGTGTTATAACTGATTTAAGCCTAGGTTTCCTTTCCGTCCGCCTCTGCGAATGTAGTTTTCTTGAATTTTTATTATTAAAAATCATACATTTAAAGACCATTCATGAAATCGAAATATAATATTGAAAATGTTTTTGACAATTTACTTTACAAACAATAAAGAAAAAAGTTTAAAACCATATGATTGTCACTTACACCTTATTAAATACACCTTGTGAAGTAGGTTAGCCTTTGTCAACAAAGAAAAAAATACACCTCTTTCCCTTTTCCACGACAGAGTAGTCTACGATCCGAAACGTCCCGAGTCTTTCTCGGCCAACGTCTGTCAACTCAGCCCTTTGTATACAAGCAATAGGGCTGCAACAACACCACTATCCTGAGGCTTGTAATGTCGAAATAAATAAACACAAATGCAATAAGTCGTTGTGTTATTTTGTCATGTTTTTTACATATTGCCATAACAGGCCACAACCAGAAAAACATTTAATTTTTATGTTGCTGCAGTCTACTTCGTATTATTATTATTCCATGCCTCTAACTAATTTGAAACCATTATAATCAGAAACATAAAATGTTAAAAAAACAACATTGATTTTACCTGAAAAACATTTGTAATATTGCATGTAATATTAATGAAGGATTAGTTGAAGAAATTATTAAACACTGTATTCTTCTGTAATGTTTAACAATTTTATATATATGCATGGTATAGTTATACAAAGTAGTCACATCCAGTCAATTTTTTTTCAAAATTTTAATTTTTACAATACTTTTTTAAATTAAATTAAAATAACTGCCAACCAAATGTACGCAACGCTTGTGTTCATTGGCAAAAATTACTAGATTATTTATAATACTTTGGGGAAAAAGAAATCCACTGATAGATTTCTGATAGTATGCTTTGAGGGTCGTACCTTAATTCATGCGTATACATACGAATTTATTCACCTCAAAAGTTAAATACGTGTATTTCAATGAATGTTACCCAAATACGCGTTGCGTATAAAAATATAAAGTTGAAAATTTTCAACATTGACAATGTGTATTTTGGATTTTTTGTTTTTTTTTTTTTTTTTTTGTTGAAAATATAATTTCAGTCATTGAAAAATTTGTGTTTCTATAAAAGTAAGCATTTTTCGATCAATTAAAAAATGTTTTCATCCATTTTCGTCGTTTTCAATTGCCACAAATGCAAATAATGTCCTTGCGTACTTGGGTAATACGGACGTCTACCAAACCCTATAAAGGTGAGAAGGTGAGTATTTTTGTACTGAGCGCAATAAATTAGATACGACACCTAAATGTTTTTTTTTTATTGGTTTTTAATTAAATGACGTTGACACTAGAATTACTTACAACAACTAGTTTACGTGTGGTTGTTGTATCGTTTATAGTACAACAACACCTAATATTATACCTTGTTAGAAATCGAAGCTCCTTTTTACATTAAGTCGTTTCAACACAATTGATTGTAGAAAATATAAATATTAAAAAAATCCAAAATTTTTTAAAAAAAGTGCGAAATGATGAGGAACACCTAATATTATACCTTGTTAGAAATCGAAGTTCCTTTTTACATTAAGTCGTTTCAACACAATTGATTGTAGAAAATATAAATATTAAAAAAATCCAAAATTTGTTAAAAAAAGTGCGAAATGATGAGGATATAAAAGCTCGATACAAAATGTATAGATTACAGAATATATCTTTTGCATTTTTCGTATTTTGATTATTTTGTTTTTTGAAAATAGAATTTTGTTTTTCAATAAATGTAAACATTTTTCAGTTAATGAAGAAAATGATTCAGTTAATGAAGAAAATGTTTTCATCAATTTTCCCCGATTTCAATTGACACACAAGTAAATTAGGTCCTTGCGTATTTGAGTAATACGGACGTTCAACAAACGCTATATACGCAACGCACTGAATTTAGGTACGGGCCTAATACTTATATTTCATGGCATAATTACAGAAGATAGTCTCATTTGAGAAATTAATAATGGCAACCTTTTAAAATTTGGAACACATCTATCAATTTCAAATTGTTTGAAAAATAAATCCCATAAAATTGTATGCATGTCGAATGGCCATGGTATAATAAGAGAAGGTAACAGCAAAAGTTGTTGTACAACAAACGATACAACAACCACATGGAAATTGGTTTTTGTAAGTAATACTAGTGTCATTCGACTGAAAAATGTAAACAAACATACAAATTATCAAAAAGATTTATTTTTTTGAAATTTCGAATTTTTTAAGTAAAATTCAAAAACATTAATCAAAATCTATCAAATTTCATTTCATTGGCAAAAATTACTAGATTATTTATAATACTTTGGGGAAAAGAAATCCACTGATAGATTTCTGATAGTATGCTTTGAGGGTCGTACCTTAATTCATGCGTATACATACGAATTTATTCACCTCAAAAGTTAAATACGTGTATTTCAATGAATGTTACCCAAATACGCGTTGCGTATAAAAATATAAAGTTGAAAATTTTCAACATTGACAATGTGTATTTTGGATTTTTTGTTTTTTTTTTTTTTTTTTTGAAAATATAATTTCAGTCATTGAAAAATTTGTGTTTCTATAAAAGTAAGCATTTTTCGATCAATTCAAAAATGTTTTCATCCATTTTCGTCGTTTTCAATTGCCACAAATGCAAATAATGTCCTTGCGTACTTGGGTAATACGGACGTCTACCAAACCCTATAAAGGTGAGAAGGTAAGTATTTTTGTACTGAGCGCAATAAATTAGATACGACACCTAAATGTTTTTTTATTGGTTTTTAATTAAATGACGTTGACACTAGAATTACTTACAACAACTAGTTTACGTGTGGTTGTTGTATCGTTTATAGTACAACAACACCTACTATTATACCTTGTTAGAAATCGAAGCTCATTTTTACATTAAGTCGTTTCAACACAATTGATTGTAGAAAATATAAATATTAAAAAAATCCAAAATTTGTTAAAAAAAAGTGCGAAATGATGAGGAACACCTAATATTATACCTTGTTAGAAATCGAAGCTCCTTTTTACATTAAGTCGTTTCAACACAATTGATTGTAGAAAATATAAATATTAAAAAAATCCAAAATTTGTTAAAAAAAGTGCGAAGTGATGAGGATATAAAAGCTCGATACAAAATGTATAGATTACAGAATATATCTTTTGCATTTTTCGTATTTTGAATATTTTGTTTTTTGAAAATAGAATTTCAGTCATAGAAAATTTTGTTTTTCTATAAATCTAAACATTTTTCAGTTAATGAAGAAAATGTTTTCATCAATTTTCCCCGATTTCAATTGACACACATGTAAATTAGGTCCTTGCGTATTTGGGTAATACGGACGTTCAACAAACGCTATAAAGGTGAGAAGGTGGGTATATTCGTACGCAACGCACTGAATTTAGGTACGGGTCTAATACTTATATTTCATGGCATAATTACAGAAGGTAGTCTCATTTGAGAAATTAATAATGGCAACCTTTTAAAATTTGGAACACATCTATCAATTTCAAATTGTTTGAAAAATAAATCTCATAAAATTGTATGCATGTCGAATGGCCATGGTATAATAATAGAAGGTAACAGCAAAAGTTGTTGTACAACAAACGATACATCAACCACATGGAAATTGGTTTTTGTAAGTAATACTAGTGTCATTCGACTGAAAAATGTAAACAAACATACAAATTATCAAAAAGATTTATTTTTTTGAAATTTCTAATTTTTTAAGTAAAATGCAAAAACATGAATCAA